GCTCGTTAACTTATCGAACGAAATTAACGAGCCGAACACGAGTTGTTCGCGAACAACGAGCCGTTTTGACAGCCCTAATAGAAACATTATGTTTTATGGCCAAATTAGTATTAAATGAAGCTTGGGTAAATAAAACCATGAGCATTTTTTTCACAAAATTAACACATACACATAGAAACCCTTAAGGTTATCATAAATCCAGAGTTTTAAACTTTAATTCACATACATTTTGAATAAAATACAATACGATCAGAAAAAAAAGGAAATATAAAAAAAAATAAAGTAAAGCAAGGAAATAATCATTTGATTTGATATCATGGATCTAATTCCCTCTCTAATCCTCCATTGTGTAGCCTTCTCCCTTTGACTTCCTTCTCCACTTGCACTACTCATTTAACCACACACTACCATACTTTCTAAGTCCACTCTAAACGCTCACTCCTCTTTTAACACAATACTACCATAATAATTAACTCCAACAGTTAATGTTGCAACATAACTGTTTTGAAAAATGTCGAGTAACTCCCATGTATATTCCAAAATTGCTTGAAAGCAGAACTATCTGGATCGTCATGTAGTGATGTTGTAAAATGATGATGTAGCACGATGTTGATAGCGCTATGACACTCAAATAAAGTGTTGAGGTGATATGCTTTCTGGCTTGATGCCTTAAAACTTATGGATCCTTATGTTGCTTTTCTCTTCCAATGCAGTGATGCTTGATTACCAATATTGTGGTCATAAAACCTAACACTATAGCACCAAGCTTTCAATTTGCTCCCATATTTGATAATCATCAGTGCTACAACGCTACTGGCCAAGCATTGTCGTGCTTATCCTTTGGCATTGTGGCTTTCTATACACAGAGATGCGGCATTGTGCTTTTGAGTTATTGCATCAATTTTTCTCCGTGTGGCACTGCGACAATGGGTACTACAATGTTGCACTTGAAATTTTTCTCTTAGAATCTTCTGCCTATTAGATTGCCTATTAAAAATAACTTAGTTTGTGTAATAAAATACAAAAAATAATTAAACTTTGAACATATTTTAACCATAATTTTCAACACATACCATCAAGAAATGGTCCAATTACCAAATTCGGCTAAGAAATCAACAAAAGAAATTAAAGAAAGACAAATCATCAACAGTTGATGCAAAAAACAAGCTACACCATTTCTATAACAATTTATTGTGAGCAAATAATAAGTTTGATTTTTATATGCTATGAACAAAAACCTTGGGTATTAGCAATAAAAAATAGTTGAGAAGCTATGAAAATCAATACAGCTCCTGCACATTTTAACTATTGAATAAATCATACTATATGATAAGCAATGATGTTATTATTCAATCTCTATTGTTAATGCTTCTCACCTTTAAGATGTTAGGGTTCAATATACGTATATTGGGTTGTACGAGATGCATCGAACTATTCGAGAAGCTTTTAATCATGTTTTTATGTATAGTTAGTTTCCACGATTTTAGATCAGTATTGATTGAAAAAATCTCAAATTCATTAGTTTCCTCTTTTTGATTTGGGATTTAATCGAGTACTTCAAAATTTTAATGAAACAACATGAAAATTTTGAATTGTCACTATGCTTCAAAAATGATTATTTTAATAAAATCATATCAAGTCTTTTATATATGTTGAAGCTAGAATCCAACCAGGTAATTCACTTACTTTATCCATTAAATATATTTTATTAACATTCAATAATAGAAACCAATTTTAAATCCATGTCATGCATGGACAAATTTGAAATCCAATAGCTTGATTTATTCAAAAAATATTCAAATTTAGCACACATCTCTTCAATTTTTGTTCCCTAGTTAGCATCAGATATAAATATTATCACACATTAGAATGCAAAGTTTTAAAAATTATCTGAGATTTCATCTTAGCTTCAAATCAGGAAGCATGATAGTTCAACTTCGATGATTAATTTGGCGACTAATGAAATGTCATTATAAAATTAATAGGACTAAAATGAAATCAATTGTGTTGTAGCATACACCCAATAAGGCAAGGATTTGGTTCTTGTGTAGAAGAACCTGTTGGTATGCAATATTGAGCATGAGGACGTGCATTGAAATCAAGCTTTGTGCTCTTGTCATGGTGATTTGGTATGTTGTCAAAAATAATGTGGAGAAGAAAAAACATATAATTGAGATGAGAAAGAGAAGGTTGGTTAGGCAAAAGGATGAGAGGAACTGAGAGGAGAGATAACTTATTTCCAAACTAGTTGAGAGTTCATAAGAGCTAATACATTATTAACTTCTAACTAACCCACTCAACAACTCAAAATATGGAATCCGGTTGCATGTTGGACGTTTCTATCATATAACAAGACATGGTGTCACATTTTATGAGTATTAAGAAATTGGTGTAGCTAGGAAATAATATGAAATTCTCATTAGGATCAACCTGCACAAGAACATCTAAACGCATTAACAGATTCAAATTTGAAGCTATAATCTTACAAATGGAAATGTTGTGGCCTAGAATACGACATCCTTAAGAAGGTGAAATCCCTAGCCAAATTCGGTTGCTAAAATTGAAAGGAAGTGTAACATCCAAAATTAAATAGAAAGACTCTCCTTGTCCAATCTACTTGTGAGGTAATTGAAAAAAAGAAATTGTATCCACCATTAATTTTTTCGCTGCTTGTACTCCAACATGAAATACCAAAAATATTCTTAGATAAACAGAGTTGACAAAAGAGAGAATTTCAGAAATGAAAAAGCATATCACTACAACATCACGCCGGATAAAACTTTATAGAACCACACGCATATTGCAAAAAACAACTTTTTTTTATGTAGCTAAGCCAGATACGACAACACCACTGCTAATTTTCCCCAAGTTTCCTGAAGCAGAAATTGAAGTAAACGACTTGTTTCTCCCAATTCTGAAGTTTAAATGAACTTTGATAAGTAAGAATCTGCAGAGAAGATAACCAAGGCAATACGTTATTAGATTACATGAACTAGATATGAAGATAAAACTCAACTTTTGCTCAGGCTAATTCAATCACAAATATAAAAATTTTAAAAAAATATCTCATGCTCACCAAGATCAGAATCCATGGAATAATCGCTGTATTACAACAGAGTTGAAACTTGTGTTAAATTCCTGTAGAGGAGGAACTAATTGAGTCTGTGGAACTAACTCAATTGAGCTTTGAAGAGTCTGAAGATAGGAATCGAGTCTATCTCCGGCATCCTCTTCTGTGTTTTGGATTGAAGGGAGGTCCACTTGTTCCTGGACTACTAAATTCTGGATGTCTGAACTTACAATATGAGAAAATTCAGAGCTTCCAGTGGAATATTTTATGTTGATTTGTGGAGGATAAATAGGAATTGTTCCTGTCTTTAAGCACTTTTTTATATGACCGTTTACGAAATTTTTTATTGCGTTGTCTGTTCGGCCGGGAAGCTGAAAAAGATTTGTAGAATATTTCAGACCATATAAATGAATGCAGTTCAGTTGATAAAATAACTATAAATTCAACAAAAAAAAAAGGATTTTTGAAACTCTAAAAAAGTGCTGAATTAAACCTGCAAAGTAGTACCTTGTCATTCATAAAAATCAAGGTTATAGAATAAAAGTGTAGTATGAAGCCAGAAAAAAAGAAGAACTTGCAAGTAAATCAAGCACATACAGCTTTAGCAATTCTTGACCAACTGTTTCCAAAAGTAGCATGGATGGAAAATATAATATATTTTTCTTGTTTTGAGAAGGGCAATTTTTTCTTAAGACCAGGCTGCAGCTGGTTCAGCCAACGAAGCCTGCAACTCCTGCCATCTCGAGAGAGCCCTGAATTCTTCCCTACAAGATTCCAATTTCCCAATCCATGGCTTTCAATATAGCTGAGAAGAGCTTCATCTTCCTCAGAACGCCATGGACGTTTCTCTCTTTTTCTAGTTTCCATTAGTCTTAATTCAGTTACCCCTGTTGTCAGATGCAGACAAAAAATTATCAGAAAGAAGTAAATTGAAGAAAGACTTGAACTTTGAATTGAAGCGAAAGAATAGCGCAGACAATAAGATTAAAAAAGAGATTTTGGAGCACTCTTTTTCGCTATCTGTGTCTGTATGTAGAAAGAACCTGGATTTATATAGAAAGTCTTCGCAATTTGGACGGAATATTTTAAATACGATGATACTTCCGCCCAAGTGATGCGGCTGATACTGCAACGTTACTTTTTGGACATTCTGCTGGAAACTTTGGGGTTGTTGTGCAGCAACTTCATTTTCTTATTTTAATGGGAATTTACATGGTTTTTTATTTTGTTTTTTTATTATTTACATGGTTGGAACGTGTCAGCAGCTATTGTATGGAATTTGTTAGTTATTGCGTTCCGCATGATATTTATATTCTATTATATTTCTATATAAGGCTTCTAACTGTTCTCTGTAAATTGTGGTAATAAAGATCAATTCTATGTCTATCTTTTGTATGTCCTCTTCTTTATTTTAACTTTTGGTTATACTCCAGTGCTTATATTCTTGTGCTGCTTATTCATCACAATTAGCCAAAAGCTTATATGGTACAGAAAGGAACATTCCTGAAAAATCTCCCTCCTTTTCCATTTCCTCTCCTTCTTCTTCCTCGAACCCTGAACTACGGCATTTCCTCCAATAAAGTGAGGCTGGAAGACTCTCTGCTTCTCGAATGTTCCCTTCATGGTCTCGCTTGAATGACCGCCGCATCTTCTTCTTCCTCCTCCTCATTTCTCTTCCCCTCCTGCTTCTAATAAACTCTACAAGTTTCCTAAACTCCAATGACTTAAAGATCACTCTCATCTCTTCTTCAAATGATTCCTTCCTTTCAAAGTTCAGTTGCAAAGCTGCGTCCGGACAACGAATACATCGTCATGCTAGAGATGCATGAAAGGAAAAAAAAAATCTCGCGCCTAATGAGCGCATCACATCCAGACGTAATATTTTTTAAAATTTGAGGGGGAAGTTAGCTCCTATTGTATGGAATATATTAGTTATTGTGTTAGGCATGCTCCTACTATACTTCTATATAAAGACTTGTAACTGTTTTCTGTAAATTTTGTAATAAAGAACAATTCTATTTATATCTTTTGTACTCCCTTCTCCATTATTTTATCTTTTGGTTATATTCCACCATAAGCCAAAACTTATAGAACTTAGCTGTTAGAGTGCGAGCTTATTTATTTTTATTGCATTTTCATGTTATAGTATTAAATTATATATATATATATATATATATATAATAGGGTATCTTGCTAGGCTACTGGCTAGGCCAAGCTCAAGAGCGGTATTTTTAATAATTTGTTGATGAAGTATTGAAGTTTTATATATGTTGAGTATATTTTAAATCAATATTTTTTATAAACGAGTTAGGGCTAGCTTGAGTTTGACTTGTTAGCTCATTGAATTCAACCTGCGAGCCACTTATCGAGCTAAGCTTGAGTCATAACCGAGTCCACTCGGTGTAGTTACAACTATAATTTTGAACGGTACTTAAGATCTAGCTTAAAATTTATCAAACGGTAAAAAAACAAAGAGCTTAAATACTATAGATTGTTAAGGAGTTGTGCTTGGTTACAAATAATGTTATAATATGGTTCTTAATTTAAGGCAATGGTAAACTTGTGATTTTCCTAGAAGCTTCTATGGTTTACTTGGGAGGCCTCATCTATTATTATAAATAGATGAGGGAGGCTTGTAGAGAGTGACAATGCTACTACAAGGAGGAAGATAAAAATCAGACCAAGAAGACCAAGAAGAGGAAGAAAATCAGCCCAAGAATAAGAAGAAGGGGAGAGGCTTCAAGAATTGAGGGAGGAGTCTTATATCTTGTATCAAGGTAGTTTCGAGAGGGAGAGATCTAGAAGAATGTTCATTCCTCAATGTAAAAAACCTGTAATTCTTCTTTGCCTTAGTGGATTTGTTGG